TCGCAAAAAGCATTGCCACATTTGGCAATTCATTGAACCTTTTCTTTCCCGGTCTTTCTCCTACCATCTTTATCACCTCTTTTCTCTTCATTTTTGCTTTCCCTGTCTTTTTTATTTCCTTTTTATTTTTTTTCCCCTGTCTTACCAGTAGTTAGCCCGGAAAAAAAAAAAAAAGAAAAAAGAAAAAAAAAAGCAGCAACAGTTCCTGCGGGACATGCATCAAACTCCTCAGAGGGGTGCTGTCAGCCAGCGCTGCAGAGGAACCTATGGCCAGGGCTGCTGGGAGAGAATGCTCATACCTCCCAGGGTGCCAGCCTGCCCTCCCGCCCCCAAGTTGCTTTGATTAAGGTGCGTCAGAGTTTACTCTGGGATTGTGTATTTTATCCATCGAGCTTCTCCTTTCATCACAGGGCAGAGAACACGGCTGTGTTTGTGGTATGGATGGGCCCACAGGGAATTTTGAGTGATTCAGTAGTTGTGGTGTGAGCCCTTCATCATAACTCCCTGTCAGGCACAGAGTCACGAGAGGCCGAAGGTTATATAGTTTGTGATTCCCTGCTCCGATAGGAGCAGCACTGTGTTGAGGGTTACGTATAGCAACCATATTCTCAAATCCAAAGTCAGCATACCTCCTGTTTCCAGACATTTTTAGATTTATAATATATTTATTTGACATGTCTTTAATAAAGTAAAAATGAAATGCCGTTTTTTTTTATTAGGCACTTGACAAATCACTTGAATTAGAAAGAATAAAATTCCATGAAACAGGCAGCTTGAAAGTCGCTGGTACCAATTGCGAATGTCACATAACTGTCTGGATGCTCTCCTCTTTCAAATAAGAATAAGGAAATAGTAGTGGCAACTGCTATGCTTAAAATTTCCAGGCCTGCTTTCAGATGATCCAACTTTATTTTCTCAATCTCAATTTTAGAGTCAAGGAGAGGACTAAAGAAAGACTTGTGACTCATCTACTTGTTATTTTCCAACCAGAAGGAGGCAACAGTAGGACAAGATGCTCTTTTATTATGGGAATGTAAAAGAAGTTAAACAATTTGACAAAGGCTTCGTTTTTGTTTTTTTTTTTTTGTAAAAAGCTCAAAGCATTTTGCCCTAGGCTGCTTTTCCTAGGAATTTAAAACCTTTGCACAACATCTTATGGGGAAATGCAACCAACATGCCCCTCATTGGTTTGTGTTTCACTCATTACATTGCTAAGAACTCACTGATTGCTAAGAACATATACATGACCAAGAAGACATCCAAGCCCTTTGAAAGAACACATGAGTCTAAATAAGGAACCTGATTCAGGACAGTCTTAAACAGATGTGAAGTCCTGACAGCCTTTGCCATTTAGAAGATTAAATTACTAGCAAACCACTTTCGATAAGAGTTTTGGTTCTCAGAGTAATGACCAGGATCCATAACAGACATTAAAGAAAAAAAAATTGGAATGAGGGAAAATATCCCAACACCAACTCGGACTTCCTAACTTTGGTAATCTGCTTTTTCTCATCTATATGATGGGAAAAATCATACTCTATCAACTTATGATTATATTGTTACTTAATGAGTAAAAAAATACTTGAAAATGAATGTGATAAATATTCTTAATAACTGGAACAAGCAATCGTGGACCATGCCTAAAAAAAGAAATAGCTTTGGAGAAATGTAATTTCTTGGATGGACAGATTTTCTATCTGCTAGAGGACTGGCTCTCGGATTTGTGATTTGTTTATTCATTCATTTCAAAGGATGATAGAAGAAATGACATAACCGGCTTGGCTGTGTATCTTTCTGATGTCTTATTTTTTAAAATTTTCCTTTCAAACACTTCTAACCTCAAAAAATAAAAAGAAACAAAAGCCCCCAGTGGAGTCCTAATTCTAATTTATAAACATTTAAAGTCTGGATGTGCGTTGAACTTCACATGTAAAAGAAAGCTTTCTGATTTTTTATCCATCCGTCTCCTTAGTGTGCCATTTGCAAACGTACTTTCCTCCTCCAGAGCAAAAGCCAGTGAGAGAGAATTGGTTTAAAGGGGCGGAAATCTTCGCCGCAGAAGAGCGCTGGTTTAATCCCATCGAGGTGGAATGAAGGTCTGAGAAGGGGAGAGACTTTGAGGCTTGGGCAGTGAGCCGAAGCAGCGTCTCCTGAGTCCACACCTCCTTCTGCCATTGTTGGCGGGAACTATGGCAATGTAGCTTTCACCCCTCCACCAGTTAAAATACCGCGTTGTCCGCGGGGCGCGGTGGCTCACGCCTGTAATCCCAGCAGTTTGGGAGGCAGAGACGGGCAGATCATGAGGTCAAGAGATCGAGACCATCCTGGCCAACATGGTGAAACCCCATCTCTACTAAAAATACAAAAATTAGCTGGTAGTGGTGGCGCAGGCCTGTAATCCCAGCTACTCGGGAGGCTGAGGGAGGAGAATTGCTTGAGCCCAGGAGGCGGAGGTTGCGGTGAGCTGAGATCACACCACTGCACTCCAGCCTGGCGCTGGCAACGGAGCAAGACTCTGTCTCAAAAAAAACAAAAACAAAAACAAAAACAAACCACGTTGTCACCTCCCTGCCTTTGTTCTTTCTTTTTTCCCCTAAGAGCATTGAGCGGTTTGAGAAGATACCTGCAGTAAATGTACATTATCTATATTAGTAATATTCTTTTGCTAACATTATTGCTAGTCATAGGAAAAATACTTTCTATATGATTTTTCTAAGCTTTGAAGTCTATAACAATTTAATCCATGAGATGCAAATTCAAAACTCATCAGGGGCCAAACTAGGGATAAAAATGAAAGAATTTGTAGGAAATGCTGGCGGTTGTGTCACAAGAGAGGGCATTGCTCAAGGCCACCACGTTTTACAATGCCAGGGCAGCCCCCCAACCGTTCACATCATATTGTATGTGAATGGCGCCCCCTAGTGTAGAGCAATGCAGTGGCCCACTAGATGCCCTGTTCATTCATTCATTCAGAGCATCCTCATTGAACTTATTGTGTGCCCAGCTTGGTTCTAGGTGCTGGAGAGGTAGCAGTGAACAAAGTGGATAAGAATCTCTTTCTTGCAGAACCTAAAGATATTCTCTTGGATTATTTTTTTAAAGGCAAAAAGCAACCTGCCAAGCAAACAAGATGCATTAATATACAGAATTCAGCTCACAAGCCTACAAATTAATGACTCCTGTCTAGGCTTTTAAATTATTTCTGTGATCATGAAGGTTTTAGCCAGATGGAAAAAATACAGCAATCTACCAACCACAAGCTTGCACCTACTGCTTAGCTTATGCGTAACGAGAGCTCTGGCTACACATAGAAAACTCAGCTAATTAATTTTCAGTTACAATTTTACACCCCACCCCAAAGGTTGTGCTTGCTACACCTTCCAAGAAAATATAATTCCTAGAGGTGATCTGTTCGGTAACATCGGGAGAAAAAGTAGAATAAGGCAGGGGTCATGGCATTCTGCCAAAGCATTGTCTGCCTAAGTACCTGTCCTAAAGACTCATGGGAGAGACAAGTCATTGAACAATGGTCAATGTGGCACCTTGAACCAATTCAGTCTGCTCTTAACCCCCCTATACATTTAATTAAAAAATTTTTTTCAAACAAAAAGGAAGATTTCTTAAAGTATCAGGTCTCTTAGGGATTATGCTAACAGAAGAGGTGAAACATAAATCGTTTCTCAGCCTTGTGGCATCTCAATGTTATTCAATGGAAAGTTTTAATTTTATCTGCAAAACGAAGCTAAATGAATGTCACCTAACTCCTTCATTGTCTGGAGGAATTTTTTTTTTTTTTCATTAGAAGCTTGGGTAAAACTAAAAAGAAACCTGTATTCAAGATTCTGCAAGAAGCTTTAAAGAAATGCTGTGATGGTACTGAAATAGTTTAAAAGTTTTCCACCTACAACTCACTTTGCATTTTCTTAAATAAGATCATGACTCAAAAAATTTCAAGAACCTAGGTCACAGATCTTATGAAGAGTTGGAGTCATGGTATAAAGATATACAGATTGCATATAAATGTTCACATGTTCTAAGAAACAGAGCTAAGACCACCTGTGATAACTCTTTCTCTTTTCTACCTTCCTTCCAGGATCCTTTCTTTCCAGAATCCCTCAGAAATTAATGATAATGATAATCGAAAGAGAGAGTGTTGGCCATGTCAATCAACACATTATATTAAATTACTTTTCCCAAAGTTTGGAAGCATTTCCTGAAAGCTGTCAAGGGTATTAATTTTTTCTCTCTCTCTTTAAATCACAAAGCAAAATTCCACTGTCTCTCCCCCACCCCTTCTAAAAAAAAAAAAGTTGTCGAGTTTTGCTTTTCTATTCACTGCAGTCCTGGCCAAAGTAAAGCCCTGTTTCTCAATGACGTCAAGATCTTTACCAAGATTAGGCTTTCATTTCTCTATTGCAGCAATTAGCCAGGGAATGTATAAAAGGCTTCAGGGAGACTCACTGGGCTGCAGAGAGAGGCACTTTGCACCACAGACAGATAGCAGGAGGGGAAAGACTGAGAGTGAGAAAAAAGAGGAGTCAGTCGGTCCTGGGGAAGGAGAGAGTGAGACTGGGGAACGAGAAGCACAGAAAGTGTGTGTAAAACGGAGTAAAGCAAGAAAAAAAAAAAAAAGCTACCCTTAAAGCACATTTAAAAAACAACTCTGGCATTTCAAGAAAGAAACAGGCTACGTTTAAAGAGACAATGAAAGGCTAAAGAAAAGTTTAAAATCTCTGCCACAGTCTCATAGGTGTTTGGAAATGAAAGTAGAACTGCCTGTCTTTAACGGACTCTGACAGGGGTAACTGGATTAGGGACGGGTACGCCAGTTTTTTTTTTTTTTTTTTTTTTTTAACATCTTAAATCCTGAAAAAAAAAAAAAAAAAAAAAAGAGGCAGCAGCTCCGAATTGAATGAATTGATGGGCACACTCCAACTGCTGGGCTGGAGAGACTGGACTTGGTCTTGCCATTTCTGCTTCTTTGAAAGAGGAGACAACTTGGGCTTCCTTTTAATTTAGTTTTTCCTCCCCCCTTTTCCCCCCACCCCCAACCTTCCCCCTTACCTCCCCCACCCCCCTTTATCACCACCCCCCTTTTAAATAAGAGGGTGAAGGGGAACCAGAGCGCACAAGGGAACTGACTCAGGAGGCAGAGAAGATGGGCATCCTCAGCGTAGACTTGCTGATCACACTGCAAATTCTGCCAGTTTTTTTCTCCAACTGCCTCTTCCTGGCGCTCTATGACTCGGTCATTCTGCTCAAGCACGTGGTGCTGCTGCTGAGCCGCTCCAAGTCCACTCGCGGAGAGTGGCGGCGCATGCTGACCTCAGAGGGACTGCGCTGCGTCTGGAAGAGCTTCCTCCTCGATGCCTACAAACAGGTGAGCTGAGCCGAGAATGGCTTCTCCTTAGGTCTATAGGGGCAGGGGCTCACGTGCGGGGGACCAGAGGCCAACGGGAGCGTGGGGTGAAAGCTGTGAAGTTCTATTTGTGGAGCTGCCCACTGAGCCTGTAAGTTTGCTTTCCACACCTGTTGCACAGGTTAGATTGGGAGACAGCTGTTAAACCTTAATGATTCTGTGTGACCTAATAAGGAGTCTTTCTACCAAGGGTTATTAATATCTTACTGTGGCTATGGAGTAGAGTGCTGGTACAGTAACTTGGGAAAAGTGAGAAAATGATGGGGAAGAGAGACCGCTGCACTGATTCTGCTCTTGCTGTAAACTAGAATTTTGATTTTTTGCTTGGTGGGAGGCTATGTGAGGTGCACCGAGGAAGTATGTTTGAGGGGTGGGTACTGAAAAGCAAAAAAAGTAAATGCTGCTCAAAACTCTCAGAGAGTTGACAAGATAACAAAATGGTCATAGCAAGTGTGATTTGCCATCATAGCTGCTTGGTTTCTGGTAGAGGTAAGAGTTAATGAAAGCAAGCAACTGTGTGCCCCCTCCTCTGCAGTGATTCCAATTTGAACCCTTTGGAAGCAGTTTTCAGGCAGTGAGTCCTGAGTTACTAGATAGCAACTTGCAAAAGAAAAATCTGAAAACTGGCTGTCAGAAATTCAGCATTTGCAAGGGAAGCCTCTTTTACTTCGTTTCTCAAAAATAAACTAAGTGGTCCTAGGAAGAGATGATGAGTCTGGGGTTCATTAAATCTCAGAGCTGTTGTGAGCATTAGAGCAGTGGTCTCCCTTACCTCCACAGGAAGTATCCAGGGGCTGCTCTCTCAAGATCAGAGTGATGATCTTAGTGTCTGAATGAAAAATACTGATGTTCCAGGCTTTTTGCTGGTTGGTGATGTTGATAGAGTATTTTCAACTGAGATCTGCAGGGGCACAGAGGAAGATTTTGGCCCTGGTCTTTTGTCAGTTTTCCCCCACCTGCTATGCCCATATGACTCCTAAAGGTCCCCCCAGACTCCCCACGCAGGCTTGAGAAGAATGAACCATTTTGGCAAAAGTAGTTATCAAAACAGACAATCTTGGTTTCTCTAACACTGTTGCCCAAGATGCCAGAAAAAGGAACTGTACATCTGTGTTTTAGAGGAATATTGAAGCCAGGTGTTCAGTGAAGTGGTATGCTTCAGGCAGGCAGCCCCTTAGAACCAGAGACAGGGAACTTGAAATAATAGAGGCAAAAGGGAATGCATCCTCCATAAATAAAACACTAGAAAAATAAAGCTATGTACCAGGAAAAGAAAAGAAGTGACTTGTAATTACAAAGAATCCAGGATGGGATTGTTCCTCTGAAAATCAGATGTTCGAGAAGAAAATACCTGTAGTGAACTAGGGAAGTTTCCCCACCTGTCTTTATTATTGATAGTAACCTCAAGAGGGTTTGTGTTTATTGTTGTTAAAAAAAAATGTGAACTGCAAGAGCTCTTATTAGTAGACGGAAATTCCTTTATGAGAATAGGAATTGATGCTCAAAGTCCTGACAGTCAAACCTCATGTATATTGTGCATGTGAGGGAGAATGGGGGAGGTAGAAAAGTTGATATTGAATTGATCATCTCATTTCCACAAATGTACATAATGAATGGGAAGTTTTTATGTTTTGTTTTAGGGGAAGGCAATTTGGAGGCAGGTAAGGGAGTACACGAGTATGTCAGACATACGATTAATTAGAAAATTCCCTCACAACATCATATTTCATATGTGTTAGCAGATACCATGGAAGTATTAGTGGTTTGACCTCAGTATATTAAACTCTTACTGTTTGGAAGACAACTGCCTTTTGCCTACAAAGAAAACCACTTATTGGAAGAATTTTACTTACACTACATATATTTCTTTTATAAATGTCATGTTTCATTAAGAAAAACTTGAAAAAAGTCATCTCTCATATACACAATGGGGGCTATGTTACCCACAAATATTAAGCGAGGTGGTTTTTCCCATTAAGCAGCTTACTGAACATAAAATGGAAAAGCAAGCAAATACGTCTTTAGTAAAGTTTTTTGTTTTTTTTTTTTTCACTCATGTATAATGTTCCATTGTGTTGCAATATTTTGTTACTCCTATTCCAGGAAACTGGGAAGGATGAGTGATTTGTTTTTTCTTTTTGCATATGGTTTGTGTATTTATCTTCTATATTTCTTTGTTCCTGCCTACTGATTTGATTAATGACCAAGTTCACGACTGGTGTTATTATGTTTGCTTTTGATTATTTATATAATAGCTACCATGTGCAGAAGTAATCGCAGGAACCACATATCCAGAGACAAGACTGGACTGGGTATGTGATGAATGGAAACATTATGAACACAGCTGGAACTGAATGATGGTCTCTTTCTGACTTCAAGTATACTTGAAGGGTGGTGGTTTCTGTGGTGGCATTTGAGGGTCACTCAGAACCTCTCAATCAAGTTCAATCACTTCCCTGAATGCTCTTGTCATCTGTGCCACTGTCTTTGGGTGGAGTCATTTCTAGAGACATTGTTGGAGGTTCTGTTTGAGATGGCATCACACTATTTCATAATCCTGACTTGCATTATTTTGAGCTGCCCATCCCCAGAAGTGAAGGTTTCCAGGATGAGAGGGGCGTGTACCCATGTGATACAACTAGACATGTGAGTTGCCCTTGTTAATTCTCCTTGTTGCTGCATGTCAGATGCCTAGAAAGATACGTAGAGAAAGTACAGCGAAAGTATTATCCCTGTGTTTTGCCCCCACAAGAGGCAACACAGAAATAAAGAAAGAACAAAATAAAAAACTTTTTTAAAACCTTTCTTAAAATATTGACAAAGATTTGAATTAACTTTATGGAGAACCATTGAAAGACAATGTGAATTTAATAAGAGATGGGTTCTATGTACAATTTTGATTGAAAATCTATTGACACTGGTGAGAGACCCTGAGGTGAATAAACGATATTTGTTATTTGTTTCTTTAGTCAGTGTCATTGCATCTGAACAGTATATCCTTGTGCTGGTGCTCAGAGACTAAAAACATGCAACCAATAAGCAAACTGCTCTGTTTGGGAGCCTGGCTCTTACCTAAATGAAGTGTAAAAGTAAACACACGGTATAGATGCTGACAGGCAGTTTAGCTTCCGCATGGTTAAGATTGCAGAGGTACAGAAAACATATTCATTTGAACATATAATTTTGGTTTTGAAAGGGTCTCTTTAACAGTCTCCTCCTCCTCTTCATTCACCTCAAGCCTTTGACACGAGTTTCCACAATGGAAAAAGGTCCTTTTAAGAGAGAAACAGTCAAAAAAGAACATAAAGCAGGCCACAGCCACAGCTTGTCCATCATTGGATAAAACACTGGGGAATGATAGAGCTTAGAGCTACATTTTCAAGGTACAAATTAAAAAGAGAATAGCTAAAAGGAATTGAGCTAAGAGGAAGGAGTAGGTAGCCTATTCTTCAACTCTGATTTATTTGGCCAATCTGAATATAAATGGTTAAATCTCTGCTTAATGATTGTTTGGCCATGTTTCTAAGGACATTGATTTAGCCTGGTCATTATGTCAAAGAATTTGAAACTTCCTGATAGTTAATAAAACCATGTCCAGGGCTTTGGATAGCAAGAAGTATATGTGAAAATTCTGCTACCATCCCCCTCTCCTTTATTTTTATCATTTGCTTTACTTTCTATTATGAGATTATGTGATATATTGTCCACAAACCTTTCTCAGGCTGTAGAAAAGAAAAAGAAAAAGAAAAAAAAAACCCAAAGCAAAAAACAAGGTTAGTAGTATATGCTCTGTTTTCTGCTTCTGCTTGATGAATGCTTCTTTCTTCCCCTTTGCCCTGCGTTTCACAGTCCACACACTAAAGCAGCATTTCCTTTTCCCCCATGCACTGAACACAAAACATCATCAAGGAAATCATGTCTTTATATATGCTGTGTATTTACGTTCATGTTCATGTTTATAAAGATGTCCACTGCAGCATTTGAACTTGGCCCAGAGTTGTCTTCTGTTGTAAAAATGCAAATCCTGTTTCCTTTGTTGGTGGTGTGTTGATGTTGCTTGCAAAAACCTAAGAAAAAACCACTGTAATGGTGCAGATGAGAGAGATAAAAGTCAGCGATGACAATGTCACATTTTACTTGTGTCCTTTCTGATCCTTGCAAAATAAAGGGACCCTTTGGGAACATCGGAACTTCAAGACCAATTAGTGGAAATGATGCTTCTTGTGTTTGGGCATTAAATACTGGGCAGGGTTCTCTTTAGAGCGGCTAATGCTGGCAGGGAAAGAGGTACCGACCTAATTACTCTTCCGCAAGAGTAAAAAATGCCTTTTGAATGCCTCTTTGGCAAATATGTCTCATTAAGGACAAAAACCAAACACAAACCCTCTAAGAAGGAGAAATTAAGATGATAGGTAACTTGTGGCCAGGAGACTTTCTGTGCCACTGTGGGAAATTAAAACAAAGTTTGGGAGTACCGAGGGATAACTTGTTTTTGTTGAGTTTCTTTCCTGCAGCTTAAACGTTATTATGGGACCAACTTTATTTTCTTCATCATTTTGGCTCTGTGTCAAGGAATGCTTTGCTCCTGGGGAGAGCAAAGAATCTTCCATCATTGAAGACAATGGTGATTCTCCCAGCCTGTCTCAGCAGGGTGCATAACCCAGCAAACCAAGAAGTTCTCCATTTGAAACTCTGGTCTATTGGGAATTTAAATTTATGGTGACCAAATGGGGAGATGAGAATGACCAGTAATATCCTTTTAGAATATTTTCTTTTAGTTTAAAGGAAACTTTCATATCTAAAAAAAAAGGTTTTTTTTTTTCTTTATTGTAGCAAAATTGTCCATCAGGTTTTAGCAATGATGGACGCATTTTATGACTAGTATATGAAGCTTATAAAAGCAGACTACTAGTCTACTCACATTTAGATTTATGGATGGTGGGTGTGTGTTTTTCCTTCTTAGTTTTATGAATCATATTAATTTTATCTATGCATTTTCTGTTGCCTAGGCACCTCCACGAATAAGAATATCCATTTGTGGCATTATAATATTCAGGAAGGGACTCTGGCTGCTCCACAAAATGAAAAGAATAGGCCACATTTGTTTTGTGCACTCACCAGATGAAACAATCAAGGACAGATCAATAACACTGAGTGTTGATTACAGTAGTATTCTGTAAGAGGGTTCCAGGATGCATATTTCTGAATGTATCTGCTTCAGTGAGCTTATCCATCACCAAATATGATTACTTTCATTGCAGGTCAGGGTTATCATTAAGTGTAAAATTCTTCACCGAGCTAGGATTGTAATAACAAGCATTTATTCATTCAGCAAAATAAATACTTTCCAGTCTAACCCTAATCTGAACAAAATGCTGAATCCCCCACATAAAGAGCATTATGGATTTTGTAACTTTCCAAATTTTTTATTTTAGAGTAACGGTGTGATATTTACTCTAAATTTCCCAAGGCAAACTAGTCTGTGTTTTGGAAAGAATTCTGCAGCTGAGGTATACCTTGTCTCTAAGAAGGAGGAGGTGTGTTAACTTTCCAAGAAAATTTACTTCAGGTAACAGGAGAGTCTCCTGTGACAAAAGCATCAGATTAGATTATTCAGTTGAATAATCAGAAATAATGAAAGGATCGACAGGCCTGCTTGGGTGAGTCAAGGGGTTAGAGGCCCATTTATCAAGGCTACGTAATTGTTTATAGGGTTCAAAAATGATTCCAAAATGCAGATGAATGTTTTTACTACCAAGAATCTACACGTGTACGGGTTGTTTACTTAATAGGAATTCACTACAACAGACTAATCTGAATGCATTTCGGTCTTCTTATCACAGTATGTTCGGGCACACAGCACACATGATATTGTTAAAACAGCCCTCCTGGAATCATTATTACTCTTTCAAATGAGAAAGATCTAAAGAAAAGAGAGTGGTACCCACTACCTAGATCTACAAAATAAAAGTAAAAATAAAAAATAAGAAATCCAGAAAGAACCCATGGATTACAGTCCCTTTAACATGTATATCTTTAATTTTGATGTATATTTTCATGCCTTAAAGACAAGCGTAGTTCATATTGAAAGAATCCAGGTAAATGTGCTTATTTGATTTCTCCATCTAGTGTCACTTGTAAATTAACTGAGAAAGTTAGTGTAAGTAAAATAACTTTCTCCGTGGTGGCAACTTAAAACAAATTTACTTACTTAAGTCACACCAACAGCTTCCTTTCTGAGAAGGAAGATTATTACTGTCAGATTTCTCTTAGAAAACTAATAGTGCTTATTTTAAACCTGCCCTGCTGGGATTTTTTCAGAAGGGAGAGAAATAACTTTAATTCTTTCTCTACAGTTAAAATGAGTTATGCATTAGCATTAGATAGAAGCTTCTGAATAAAAGCCCTTGAGTGTATTATATTGGTTTGGATTGTTAGATCTTTAACAAGTCACTTCTAAGTGACTTCAATTAACAGTAGTTTTATGTGTGGCTATATGTATATGAGGGAAATAAGTCGATCCAGTTGGAAATATATTGTAATATCCAGGATAGTGTATACAAACCAATGTACTATCATAAGTCATCCCTAATGTTATTGGCTTTGATTAAGCCATTCTGAGGAAGATCTAATTGTATTAATTCAAACTGAAGTAATTGGCTCTTTTATTATTGCCTGCTTTTTAATTATCAATTTACAGATTCAAAGCCTGCAAACTTTCCTTCATTCTGTTTTCAACTATTTAAACCATGCGCAAAGGGAGCACATGAAACAATTTTTATCTCTACCTCTTCTGCCCCAGTATTTTATAATTCAGAGGAGCTTGTTAACAAATTGTGGGGTAGAAAAGTACTTTTTAATGTGACTTCCTAGATAAAAAGAGGGAAACAGGCACACACGCAAAATGAGAAATTAAAGTAGAATTCAGGAGTAGCCATTTTGTTTTGTTTTGTTTTGTTTTGTTTTGTTTTAATTTAATGGAAATTGTGAGGTTGGAGTGGTAAGAGCCCCCCCCGTAAACAGTGGCAGTAGAAGTCTCTGGGGAGTATGCCATATTGAGGACAGCAAAAAGCTTTGCTCAGGATATATATTTTTTTAAACCACAGAATTGCCCAAGAAAGAGGATGTTCTGTTTCACATGGTGGGGGAGCGTCTGATAAGGGCAACACACACCCACCTAGTTACAGTCCACAAAGAGCTCTTTTGCTCATGTTGTCTTCCAATTGCCATATGTGGAAGACAGGCATTATTACCTCCATTTTACAGATGGAAAAGCTGAATCCCTAAAGAGGTTAAGTGCAAGTAACCCTTCTTATAAATGGTAGACCTCAGGTTTTCTAGGTCTGGCCAAGTATAGAGCCCACTGGTATCATTGGCCATTGGTTGAGATTAAATGACTTAGTATTGTGCAAGAAAATAAAGGTCCTGACTGGAGTTTCAGAATTCAGAAAGAGGCACCGTGTCTCAAGACCCCGATAATTTGTCTTAAAGGAGACCATTTGCTTCTAACTTTTAAAATGAAGTCAATTAATCATTTGTTATAGAATGCATGCTAAGCCTTGACAGCAAAATAAGGATAGGAAAGAATACCAGCCTTGGCTTAATTATAAAAAGAGTTAACTCCAGTACCTTCAATGAGGAAAATAATTACCTTCAGTGACTATACAGAATGAAAAAGACTTTTACTTTCTTTTGGGCCATTCTTTACATTACCTGCCATGATGTCTCTTTACTCAAATCAATAAATGTTTACCACATGCTCTGAAGAAAATACCACACTCTATTAGAGCCAAATTGTAACTATTTAACGTGACTTGAAGTGGCAATGTGTTTTAATGTGATGTTCTCTCCTTTTTTTTTTTTTTTATCATCAGGTGAAATTGGGTGAGGATGCCCCCAATTCCAGTGTGGTGCGTGTCTCCGGTGCAGAAGGAGGTGACAACAGTGGCAATGGTACCCAGGAGAAGATAGCTGAGGGAGCCACATGTCACCTTCTTGACTTTGCCAGCCCTGAGCGCCCACTGGTGGTCAACTTTGGCTCAGCTACTTGACCTCCTTTCACGAGCCAGCTGCCAGCCTTCTGCAAACTGGTGGAAGAGTTCTCCTCCGTGGCTGACTTCCTGCTGGTCTACATTGATGAGGCTCATCCATCAGATGGCTGGGCGATACCTGGGGACTCCTCTTGGTCTTTCGAGGTGAAGAAACACCAGAGCCAGGAAGATCGATGTGCAGCAGCCCAGAAGCTTCTGGAGCGTTTCTCCTTGCCGCCCCAGTGCCGAGTTGTGGCTGACCGCATGGACAATAACGCCAACGTAGCTTACGGGGTAGCCTTTGAACGTGTGTGCATCGTGCAGAGACAGAAAATTGCTTATCTGGGAGGAAAGGGCCCCTTCTCCTACAATCTTCAAGAAGTCCGGCATTGGCTGGAGAAGAATTTCAGCAAGAGATGAAAGAAAACTAGATTAGCTGGTTAAAGGTATGATTGTAAGAGCTTATTGTTTTTAAAAAGTATATAAAGGCAAGGACATTAAGAACTGGATCCGTATTTCAACAGAGTCCCATTGCCTTACCGAAAGACAGGAGTTTGCCTTTCAGAAGAACATGAATCTCTAACAGCTTCATACTTTCTTCACTACTCAAATGGCACTGGGCTAAGTAGTAGCCCTATCACTTCTCTTGTGAGTGAAAAGCCTTATGTGAAAAGATCCCAAGACGGAGAGGAAGAAACCCTGATTCAGCATGTGTTCATTCTGCATTGGGAAGGAACTGATACAGGTGATGCATGCTTTGAGACCAGAAGAAAGACTTACGTGAATAACTACTACATTAGGAAGCTACTGTTTACGTTAAGATAAAGGGTATTGCCTTTGCTCTGTTTTGCATGGATGAAGCCTAATTGGAAATTCCCCAAATATTATAACAAGTCCTTGAACCCAGGCCATGTGGCTAGACATTGGTGTTAGGGTTAGACTTTAGAGTCGTTTCTGATGTTCCAGCTTTTAGTCATGTAGTACTCTCAGTCTTCATAGCCCAGAACTTACAGGTATGTTTGTAGATACCAAGAATAATCCCTCAATCTAGGAGGTTAGAATGATCATCTGAAATGTGAGGATTACTTCCTAGGCAGGTGGAGAGAGTGCTAGGAAAGAAATCAAATTGACAAGCTAGGAAAGAGGAGGCAGAAACATTTGGAAAATTCACAGAGTTTCACCTTGAAGCTGTAGAGAGTAGAACTCATTTGTTAGCCACAGAAACACAGAAACACACGCAAGTCCTGAAAAAGACACAGCAGCTCCACTAAAGGTGGCATAGAGAGTACACATATAAAAACAATATATTTGTCATATGTTCCTAGATAGAAGGAGAAAGGGAGTATTGAAAGGAAAAATATTCTTAAGTATTTGTAGTTGTGAGAGGTTTCTGTTGGAAATAATTACTTTTGAAACATGTATGTGGTATGTATATTTTCAGTGGGTTAATTACACCCCATGATACCTGTTAAAGGAAAACCAGTGGATCTGCTGGTGCTGGTCTTTTCCTCTCCATTCCTGCAGTTATTATGTGGCCAAGTCAGTCCTAATCTCAGTCTCTATAGCAGTGTTCTCTCTGAATGCTGTGCTGAAGAAATTATACGTACATGCATACATACAAATGTACATATATTCTCAGCTGCTGTGGGAGGTAGGTACCATGGCCATTCAGCACAGTCTTGACTTCCTCCCAAAGCAGGTGAACTGTAATGAAGGATAGGTGTAAGCAAACAAACTTACGTCCATTGCAAAATAGAAGAAGAGGAATTTATAGAGAATTCCAATCAATAATTTTGGAAGCTTTGTTATAAGGCAACCCCCGGTATCATGGAATTTTCACTGATGTTTGAATTTGGACATGGATCTTCCTTTTTTCCAATAGTTGAATTTTAGTAATCTAAAGTCCTTATAGTATATGATTATAATGCTATTTTAATATATATAAAATAGTTTTTTCTTTTTAAAATAGATACTATAGTTTTACCCATCAGTAATATTCAAAGATCATAGCCCCCAAAAGAATAGATGAACCAATTTTGTATCATAATTTTTTTGATAAATATAAGACTATTATAAAATCATAGTATATGATTGTATTTAAAGGTACAATCAAAGGACCTTTTGTTCATTCCATTAATAACTGAATAAAAATAAATTAATAGAAAAAACTAAAGTTGAAAATACATTCTTAAACTAGTTGTCTGAAATGAGAAAAGAATGGGAACTAGGTGTGCAAGAATCAAAAGTATTATTTTAAAATGGGAGCAACATATCAGTCATCACTAGCTGGTATGTTGTGTAAATATTACAGCTCCATTGTGACAGATTTTTTTTTATGGCAACATCAGCTTTCTAATGTTTTAAATTCTATAAAAAACACCCACAAAGAAACAAGGCAAATTTCAAAAATGTGATGTTTTCTAATGAATTGCTGAAAAATCATATCGAGAATAATTATTTCAGATTCCTCGGTTGTTAACCTCTACATTCAAGGCTTATCTCTGCCCTCATTGACTTTTTTTATCTTCAGAATGGTGTTGAGATTTCCATGGGACCCTAAAGCAGTAAAATAAAAAATCTGGTTGCAGCACAGTCACACTGTTGTCCTTAAACTTCCCCTTTATTCTATTTGTACGATAATGTAACAGTATGTCAGATAAGCCGGTGGGGGGATGAGATTTGGCTAAGGCAGTGCTAGTCGACTGGGGAAAAGGATGATGGAAAAATCACCCAGTTGTGCTATATTTTTAAAGAAAGAGGTCGTTTATGTGTAGACCTGTTCTCCCTGAGGATAGCCCAATGGAGGAATGAAGCAGAGGAAGGAAACATAGAAAGACCTAGGCTGTCAGGGAGGAAGATGCTCAATAGAATATGTAAGAATTTCTGGAAGAAAGGCTGTGGAAGGGCCAATGGAGAAAATGAATGGATAAAGCTCAGGAATCCTACATTATGTAGAATGTCTTGGTGTTATCAGGGTAAAGCCCATGATTATGTAACCTATTTATCTCTACATACATTTTTATGATTTCTTGTGATGCATTCTTTTATGAAATTAACAAGAACTCATTATTTGAGGTAGAGGAAAATCAATGCTTTAGCTGATATGCTGAGAAATTATTAGATTGCCAGTACTCACGGGCCTATCCTGTGTTTTATAAGGTATGTGTTCCTTTGAAGAATTGTAATTCTTATTCTCACAGGGAAAAGTGTATCTATTAATATATCATAGCATAAATCTATGATATATTTATATCCTATATAAAAGTCTGAGTTGTCTTTCTTAGTCCCTGATCATGTTTCTCCCATAGGCTATGTTTACATGGAGCTATCAGTTCAGCCTTTTAAGCTGCATTAACTAGTCTATTATTAAAATAGTTTCCAAGAAATTTTAAATATTATCATAGCATCTGGTTTTATTCAAACCTTATTGTTTGAATGACTTATGTCTTGGAACTATTAAAAACTGACTTTATTTATTGTTTAGTGAAAATACTAGTGGGATCAACAATGACTTTCTTGAATGGGCATGAATGGAAATGCTTGCTCAGTAATTTAGAAGTGTTTCATACAGTTATTAAAATGTAACTGACCTCCTTAGATGTAGATTAGTAACTGTTCCTGCTTTGGAAAGCTAAGAGACAGCCACTTAACTTACATGACTTTCTATTTTCATGTTTGGTCTCTGGTCCTGTGTCTTCAACTCATTTATAGAAGTCTCCCTGATTTTTGGTAATATCAACTTCCCAGTGGTCTATCTAGTTAAATTATTCTCCCATTAACCAGGAAGTGCTTATCCTTTCATCAAGGTGGGAAGAATAGCCTATTTTCTTTCATTTTGCCTGAGTGTATGTTACTATTTGGGTTCTTAAGTAAAAATTATGACATATGGTGAGGTCACATGATGGTGCTACCTTATTAGAGGGCAGGTTAAAGACAATATGTATGCCTTTGGGAAAATTCCCATATGGATTACAAGGTGTCCTCAGGTTCCCTACATGACTATGTGCAAAGCAAGAGGAGTTACTGATTTACAGGACTTCCTATTATGTAAATCATAGGAGGATAGATTGATCTGGATATTTGTTCCACCTGACCTCTGACTGATGGTTTGGAAAATAAGCTTAATTAGAATCATATGACCATTGAAAAAGAAAAAATGTAAACCCTGACTTCTGTCCCACTGAAGGATTAATGAAAACCTTTACTAGCATTTAGAGCTTTTCAGAACAATGTCATGTGTCTCAGCAGTGGGGACTGAAAGTAAGGCTTTTAATTTTAGGAGCTTTTTTTTTTTTTTTTTTCCTAAATGGTATCGCCAAAAATCAGAGTTAAAATATATATAGTTAGATTCCAGCTTCCTTCTTCACTCCAAATCTAGAATCCAAACCCACTCTTCATATATACTCCCAGAATGAGGCTTACATACCAATCTCTTTGCAGTTGGCACAATCTTGATCATTTCCTGAGGCTCTCAGGAGAGGATCTAGAGCGGGAGAGGTAGAAAGTTGCAAACTGGGAAGGATGAAGCCCTGAGGCCTTGATCTAGAAATCCGGGAAGATTTGAAAACAAACTTCTCACAACTGAAGGAAGGCTGAAGGCTTCTGCAAGTCACTCAGTGACTTTAGGATGAGCAAAACATCAGGCCACTTCCTAATGCCCTATGTGTATAAGCACCAGAAGCAAGGTCTCAGACTTAACAGACCCTTCTCTGTTCCAAGGTGAGTCTGAACCAATAGAAAGCAAACATGTACAGATATCCAAACAAGACTGCTCATGCAAGTCAGGGCTGGCTGCCCGTCTTAGGCAGCAACAGCAGAGCTCCAGGGAGTTTATTCAATATTTACTGAGACTTCGAAGACCCAGCAGATGTTTAATGAAGTCACTATTTTGGCTCAAACCCTCCATTTCTCCCCCTCTCCTGAAAAAGCAAACAGGTCAACACGCAAATGAAAGAAACCCACAGAAGGGGATGGGAAATAAAGAAAATTCTCTCAAGATTTCTCCAGGCCCATGTCGCTGGTTAGTGTGGTTTTTATGTGTGTTAGGATTGGGGAATGTGAAGAAATAAGTATCCAGTACTTTATAACCAAAGCAATTAAATGATATTGGGTAGGGAATGTTGGCCAGTTTTGTTTAGTTTTGCATCACATTATCCCCAGACTCACTAGCCCAAGTAATCGGGTACCCGAAGAGGGAGGCAGAGATGTGCAGAGTTGACCAGTGTGCGGATGATAACTACTGACGAAAGAGTCGTCGACTCAGTTAGTGGTTGGATGTAGTCACATTAGTTTGCCTCTCCCCATCTTTGTCTCCCTGGCAAGGAGAATATTCGGGACATGATGCTGAGAGTACTGGGTAAACGTGGTGAGAATGCATGCGTGCATATGCTACTCATATGTGCTTCTCAGTTGCAGAAAAAGAACTGCTTTGGAGATGATCGGTAGAAAGAGTGTTAACCTATTGGTGCTGAGTGGTATGTGTGCTTATACAATTTGTTCTTGTATTTTAATAAACTTTGAATTAAAGAATAAAGCTACTCTTTGGTTCTATTTGTTTATTTTAACATTTCTCCCTAGACTTTGCCCCAGGCTGGAACATATTCATGGTTGACAAGGGAAAGAGAATCCATCATTCTAATATTTATTCCTTGGTGTTTGTGGGCAAAGTAGCCAGCAATGCCAGATTATTTTAATCTCATGCTGTGTGCCAGAGTCTTCAAGGAAATCAAGACAAGTAAAAAGAAAATCTTAAGATACTTTCCATATTCATGAACAAGTTGCTCACAGAATTCATAGAAAGGTGTCTGTTTAAGAGACTGTGGAGCAAACTTTTACTTTGTTATATTTACATCTTGGGTTTTCTAAGCGCAATTAATATACTTTCCAGAAACTTGGTTAAAATCACACACACACACACACACACTCTCACACTCTATACATATATCTATATTATTTGTTATATGATTGTCAGTGTATTAATGTGTAATAAATTTGAATACATTTCTATCAAGCACTTTCACTATGAGGAGGTATAAAGAATATGTTATATGGAGGCAATGGACGGTTAATGAAAAAATATGTTTGCAGCATGGTTAAATATGGGCATTTTTTTTGGAAAACGGGCAACTTAAAGTATGAGTATCTTTTGAGACTGAACTTAGTCATTATTTCCTACACATAATAAGTTTATGAATATTAGCATCTTACACACTATTCCAGAATTTCAAATAGAAATTAAAAAAAATCATTACTTTGACAACTATCTGTTGAGTTTCTATTCTTTGCAGGTCCCTGTGCTAAGTACAATATAATGTGTAAAAACAGCATAGCCAAACTCATACAAGCATCACTTCATGCCATGGTTTGAATGTCCCCTCTAAAGCTCATGTTGAAATTTAATTGCCGATGTAACAGTACTAGGAAGTGGGGCCTTTAAGAGGTGATTAGGTCATGAAGGCTGTCCCATCTTGAATAGATTAATGCCATTATGGAGGGAGTGGGTTAGTTAATGAAAGAGTAGGCTTCTAATCAAAGGATGAGAATCCCTACCCATTTCTCTGTTTTGTGCACTCTCGCCCTCCCACCATGTGATGACTTCTGCCACGTTATGACACAGCAGGAGGCTCTCACCAGATGCGGCCCTGAGATCTTAGACTTCCCAGCTTCCAGAAATGTGAGCCAAACAAATTTCTATTGTTTAAAAATTACCCTGTCTGTGGTATTCTGTTATAGCAACAGAAAATAAACTAAGACACTCCCTTAAGGAGTCTGTTGTGGATTCATTAAGACCATGCAAGTGACCAAGTCAATCCTAAAAAAAAAAAAGAATTGGAACTTATTGGTTGAAATAACCAAACTCTGCAAATGATTGGGATAAAACTTGCCTTAGTAACAACTGGATTCAGGAACATAGAAGCCTTCAGTGCTTGCCAGGTCTTTTGTCTTTGTTCTTTTTTGGGTGTCAGCTTTTTCACCCTGACCAGTTTCTCTGTATGTTGGGTGATCTGGCTAGCTGAGGCTTCTGATTTGCAATTTCATTATAAAGCGGTACAGATGGGGTTTGACTGTATTCCCAGGGAAGAACTTGGATTGGACCAATTTGTGTAACATGTCCACACTGTTGAATGGGGGTAGGATCTGTTACTAAAAAAAAGAGAGCAAGAAGGGCTCTGAATATATAGATATAAGATGTTAACTCAGTGTTATTTTTTTGTTTTTGTTTTTTGAGAAAGAGATCTTCTTATTTTTTATGAGCAGTTTTACGTTTCCAGCAACATTCAGAAGGAGGTATGGAGATTTTCCAAATACCTCCTGCTCCACACAGGAATACCCCTCCTCTATTATCAACATCTCTCACCACAGTAGTATATTTATTACAGTTGATGAATATACATTGACACATCATTATCACCCAAAGCTTGCATTGCGCTTTGATTTATGCATTCCATGGCTTTGGAAAAAAATGTACAATGATATGTTATATATATCATTATAAAATGAAACAAGGTATTTTTATTTTCATTGCCCTAAACATCCTCTGTGCTCTGCCTATCTATCCTTGGCCACTCCTAACCCCTGGCTACCACTGATTTTTCTATTGTCTCCATAGTTTTATCTTTCGCGAATGTCATATTGGAATTGCATAGTACCTAGCCTTTCAGATTGACTTCTTTCACTTAGTAATATGCATTTAAGGATTCTCTGTGCCTTTTCATGGATTGATAATTTATTTCCTTTTAGTGCTGAGTAATATTTCATTATTTGGATATACCAGATTTTATTTTTCCATTTAGCTACTGAAGGACATCTTGGTTGTTTCCAAGTTTTGGTCATTATGAATAAAACTGTTATTAACATCTGTCTGCAGGTTTCTGTATAGACATAAGTTTTTAAATCCTTTGGGTAAATACTGAAGAACATGATTGCTTAATTGTATGATAAGAGTATTTTAAAGTTTTGTAAGACATTGCCAAACTGTCTTCCAAAGTGGCTGTACCATTTTGCATTCCCACTGACAGTGGGTCAGAATTCTTGACGTTCCACACCCTCACTAACATTTGGTGTTGTCGGTGTTCTGGATTTTGGACTCTCCAATAGGTATGAGATGGTATCTTGTTGTTGTTTTAATTATTTCACAGCCTATTCCATGTCTGTATTTGTTCTTATGTTGTTTGATTTAGTCTTCATGTCTGAAATGATTTTTACTTTTTTTAAAAAATATTTTTTTATTTTAGAATAATTTTAGACTTACACAAAAATTAAGAAAATAGTAGAGACAGTTCCTATAAGTCCCATACCAATTTTCCCCTATTAACATATTAGGCTAATTTGTATACTTGTTATAGCTAATGGATCAATAATGATATGATATTATTATTAACTAAAGTTTATACTCCATGTTCTAATGTTCCAGGATCCCCTTCAGGATACCATATTATAATTAATGTTCATTTCCTTGATAATATATGATGTGGAACATCTTTTCATTATGCTTATTTTTCTATTTGTACATTTTCTCTGATGAGGTGAATGTTACGGTCTTTGGTCCATATTTGAACCTGGTTGTTTGTTATCTTCTGTTGTGTTATAAGAGTTTCTTGTATATTTTGGATGACGGTCCCTTTTTATATGTGTCTTTTGAAAATATTTTCTCCCAGTCTGTGGCTTGTCTGTTTTTTGTTTGTTTGTTTGTTTGTTTGTTTTACATTGTCTTTCACAGAGTAGTTTTTCATTTAATGAAATCTAACATCAATTATTTCCTTCATGGATGAGAACTTTGGTAATATATCTAAAAAGTTATCACCATATACCCAAGATCATCTATGTTTTCACTTACGTTGTCTTCTAAAAGCTGTATGGTTTTGTATTTTACATTAAAGTCTATGATCTGCTTTGAGTTAATTTTTACAAAGGCTGTAAGGTCTGTATTCCAGAATGATTTATTAAAAAGATTGTATTGTCTTTGCTTCATTGTCAAGGCTAGTAGTCTGTATTTTTGTGGATCTACTTTTAGGCTCTCTATTCTGTTTCATTGTTCTTTTTGTCCATTCCTTCACACCGTCTTCACTACTGGAGCTTTATGGTAAGTCTTGAGGTCAGGTAATCTCAATTCTCTCAGCCTGTACTTTGCCCTCAGTATCGTGTTGGTTGTTGCCTGTCTTTTCCCTTCTCATAATTAGAATCAGTTTTTTGATATCCACAAAATAACTTGCTGGGATTTTGATTTGGATTGCATTGAATCAATAGATCACATTGGGAAGAACTGACATCTTGACAATATTGAGTATTCATATCCATAAACATGGAATATCTCAATTTATTTAGTTATTCTTTGATATATTTTGTCAAAGTTTTATCATTTTCTCCACATAGAACGTATAGATATATATGGTTAGATTTCTATGTAAATTTTCATTTTGGGGGGACCTAATTTGATACATTTTGTTTTCAATTTCTAATTCCTCTTGTTTATTTCTAGCATATAGGGAAATGATTGACTTTTGCATATTAACCTTTCATGCAACCTTTCTATTAATATAATTGCTTATTAGTCCCAGAAGACTTTTTTCAAAAACAGTATTATTTTGTATTTTCTACAAAGACAACCATGTAATAGGCATCCAAAGACAGCTTTATTTTTTCCAAGTCTGTATATCTTTTCTTTCTTTCTGTTTTCGTCTTATTGTATTAGCCAAGACTTCTAGTACCATGTTAAAAAGAAGTGGTGAGAGGGGATATTTTTGCCATGTTTCTGATCATAGTCGGAAAGTTTTCAGTTTCTCATCAAGCATGACATTAACTGTAGGATTTTTGTAGATGCTCTTTAACAGATGATTGACAAAGTTACCTTCATTCTTAGTGTACTGAGTGTTTTTATCACGCCGCGGTGTTGGATTTTGTCAAATGCCTTTTCTGTATTTATTGATTTAGTCATGTGGTTTTTTTTTCCAGTTTGTTGATGTGATGAATTAATTTTTGAATTTTGGACCAGATTTTAGCCTTGTATACATGGCATAAACTTCACTCAGAATGGTGTATAATTCTGCTTATACACATTGAATTCAATTTGCTAATATTTTGTTGAGGATATTTGCATCTGTGTTTATGAGAGATATGGGTCTTTTTCTTCTAACACCTTTAGTTTGGTAGGGTAATGTTGGCCTCATAAAATGAGTTACAAAGTATTTCCTGTACTTCTATCTTCGTCAAGAGATTATAGATAATTGGTATAATTTCTTCCTTAAATATTTGGTAGAATTCAGCAGCAAACTCATCTGAACCTGGTGCTCTCTGTTTTGGAAGCTCATTTAATTGTTGATTCAATTTCTTTAATAGATGTGGAACCATTCTCACTGTCTTTTATTCCTTGTTTGAGTTTTGGGAGCTGCTGTCTTTCAGGAAATTGGCCCATGACACCTAGGTTATCAAATTTGTGGGCATGTAGTTATTTATACTATTGCTTTATTATCCTGTTAATGCTCATGGGATCTATAGTGATGCCCCTATCTCATTTCTGATATTTGTAATTTGTGTCCTC